TCTTACTGCACAATGGGTAAGTTATGAGCACTTCCAAAGACAGCATTCCTAACAAAAAATAAACAAAATTTTCACACACAAGCTTTCTTGAATGCCTCAACTTTAATGGAGTCAGAACAATACTATACAACTATATACAGATGTTGAAGCATGACTAAATATCTATTACTTCCTACATACAATCAGCTGGAAATATGCCCCAGCTAGGAAATACAAACACATGTTTGCAAGATTATTTTACTATTCTTGATCGTAGCCGTCGCTTGATGATTAGATGATCACTTTCCTTTTCTTTTTGTTCTACAAAGATCTGAAAAAGATGGTATTAAACAATGGTTACTCAGCATTTCAGAGACAAATGACATAGACTTCTAGACCTGTATGACTAACAGCATAGTTTTCCCCAGAATCTGTTTTCAGAATGAAATTTGCTTATTCACTAAAAGGGTGGTCAGTCACTGGAATAGGATGCCCAGTGGTAGAATCATCACCTGGGGGATATGCTTTAGTGGTGGACACAGTGGTGCTGGGTTAACAGTTGGACTCAATGATCCTGGAGGTCTTTTCCAATCTTTACAATTCTATGATTCTATTACCTTTTAGTCAGAGGTCTCCAGGATAGAGAGACCATTTTAGTGCATCATAATGAGCTACAAATACCAGAAACACACAAAATCCCATTTTTTTTTTTCTGGAACAAATACCAAAGTCCAAAGAAAAATGTGATCTGAAAGCAGCTTTCGGTTCTAATTCCTAATACTCATTTCGTGATACAAGAAGTGTTCAGAAAACACAGTTTTTATCTTAAATTTTTACAGCTTTCTCTGACTTTTCCAGGATTCAGTCTTTTACTTTTTCATTCACTTCCAAGCTTCTTTGCTCTTTTTGCTCTGCATTTCTACCATTTTCGTTTTTCTCTTATGGACAGCATTTTGGTTTCTGCAACATCCATTCATACAATTTACAGGAAATTCAACAGGATATCTTAGTACGGGCAAATGCTTACTATAGCATGGGGAAGAAAGGATTGAAGAGAATGAAGGGATATACTTCAGAAGCAACAGAGCAAGGAATTCTCAGCAGTATAGTTACTGTCAAAACCATTCAGTTGGATTTCAGAAACAATACATAAACTCTGGCCTATAAGGCTTTTTATAGACTGGCTTAGATAGGGTAACACAATTTAACCACATCCAGCAGGCTATTTAAACTGTGTTTTGAAAAGCATGGATGCTATTATGCCCAAATATCAGCTGGGCATAAATAGAATTCAAAACCACCTTACGTGCTCACTTACCCTGTAACATTAATTGGACATGCAGACCTTTATCTTTAGTATTTCAATCATGTTATTCCAAATCTATGGATCCCTTAATGGTCTCTATTTCTATTCTCCCTTTATGTCACACTTAAATGAACCGCAGCTACTGGAAACACAAACTCAGACTTAACTGCTGTAGCACAGGAAAAAGTAATCCTCCACATACTACAACTAAGATGTCTATGAACCCAAATGTAAAGATATCTCCACGACTGTTGTATCACTCATACAGTAAGTCAGCAGTCAAAGAGAGAAGACAAGTGAGAAAACAGAGAAAATTAATTAAAACAGCAGAAAGAAAAGACCAAAAGTAATGGTTAGGCAGAATCAAAAAGTAAGTTGTTATTTTAAAACCTCTTTTGCAACCTTCAGATTTGTTTTGTTCCCCTACTAGTTTATTTTAAATTAAGATTACAGAAAAACATTACAGTGGGCAAAACAGTAACCTGTAATCACTTACTGAAGAAACGGGGATATGCAGGGGGGAAGAAATGTCAGTTGAATACAGCTTTCTCTTAGCTCGTTTTGGCTTGAGCTCATCTTCTTTGACTTTTTCTGGTTCTGCAGACTTTGGAGAGCTTATTGTCTCAATCAGCTTCTTTGCTAGAAAACAAGTTTTGTCATAAATACATGTCTTACTGATTTTGTGAGCCTCAAAATTCATGAATAAAGAAAGCTTTATTAAAACAGTTTAAAATGAAACCGATATAGTCTGAAGTTCAAATATAAAAATTCAGAAGTGGTATTTGACTACCACAGTTTTCTATAGCTGGAAACAGTTTTCTGTATCTTCAGATGCAAAAGTTTAAAGGACACATTTAAATAGCACATTAAAAATCAAACAGGATTCAGATCTCGCTGCATGTTAAAGACTTCTGAATTGAACAGATTTAAGTTCTTTGTGCTGACACAAGCATAATGTAGAGTCAATTTTCTCTATATATTTGTGTAGTTTTATCAAATTAGTACTAGCTCTATAGAGGAGTGTATGCACTAGAAAGCAATAGGAAATCCCAAACAATACTCTTATACAAAGAGGAAAAAGATAAAGGACATGGTAATAAAGGTTACAAAGCAGAACTCATTTGCTCAGATCTAGTATTTTAAGGATGAAATTTTGAGTAGTCTGAATTTGGTTTCCATTGGTAATAAATGCTGTCCTCATGGAACCAATATAACAAACCTGACTTATGTCAAATAAATAAAGATGCAAGACAAGTTTTCAAGCTGGTACAGGAGCTTATTTCAACTGCCCACATTAAATAACAACTGACCTTGTTTTAAATAAATAAGTAATAGTGTCTTTTAGAATTTAACATTGGCAATTTCTTGTGCCTTCTGCTAATTTTTTTTTTAAACACAGTAATCCAGAGATCATGTCTTACTGTGGAAAAGAATAAAAGTATATTCTTCAGTGGAAAGTCCTAGTAGTTAACCTTACCAAGGCTACGCTCAAACTTAACAAAATCCATTAATTGCTTCATATTCAATTTAATGAAGTCTTCCAAATATTTTCATGAGACACTGGCTTTCAGATTCTGTAGAACCAATCTTCCCCTCTCACATACATAAAAAAACATTAAGAAAGTTTCCACAGAAACAAGGCATTGCTTATAAAACACAGTAAGATTTGGAGTTTGGATTCATCTCTTGATTTTTGTAGAGCAGCAGGGCAAGTTTCTAATGTTGCCTTTACCTTTAAGTAAGTACAAAGTAACTCTGGTATTCTGAGCCAAACAGTTATCATTGCTTTTATGCTATGTGTGCACATATCCCACACTGCATCTTTCATTCCACTTGGTTTACCTTTCACACTTAACCTAAACTTTAGAACCATGTGTCCTTGCAGTCAAGACAAACTCTTGTACTCTGCCATTCTGCAATGCCCAGAGAACAGGGAATAAGCCTTATTTATACTGTACAAACCTTTGGAGTGAATAATAGTAGGAGAACTTTGGAAAAAATCACCAAGTTTCTGGAATGTCCCATCTTTCTTCTTAGCTGACTTTTTACTTAAAGTAGATTCTTGCTTTCTTAAGGGGTATTCTTTTCTAAGAGACTGAGCAGTCGACATCTGTATAGAAATACAAGTTTATTGTTTAAACTGAAAATTGACTTATCTTCATGTTTAATTTCATTTTATTTTACTTCAATGTTATTTTCAAGCTGACAGTTTAAGCTTTGCTACTGACACCTCTGTTCAGTTTAGTAATGATACCACTACAGCAAGAAATGTAGACAACCTCATTTTATATCCAGAATTAAAAAAAACAAATGCCAAAGTTTCACAGAATACATTTAAGGACATGAGTCATATAGGAAACAAATAGTTACCTTTTTGAAAAAGGCAGATTCAAAGTTATACAGTATTTTATTAGACAAGATGGTCTAATTATAAATAAAGTAAGAAGAATCTGATGAGGCAAATAGATGTACTATCCAATCTCTGAATCTGCCCAGGTTTCCACTATGGCCTAAAATAATCTTTTTATAATTGCCATAAATATAGGTAATATAAACCTCAGTTTCAGTTCAAAGGCATTGTCTATAACATCACATTCTAATAGTATGCTCAAAGTAGTCTGGGTAACTATTCAACATGTAACATCCTTCCCTTTGAATCATTGCACACTGCAGCTAGGACACTACACGTTCTTGGCAAATACAGACACTCTCTTTGATTGGCTTACAGAATTTAGTAGAAAGGCAACATAAGTGTTTGAGGATGCTATTCAAGTACACATTTACAGAAAAGGCTAAACTAACTTCCAAAATGGAACAAAATCAAACCATTTTTTTGTTGCTTGTAGAAGGTGAATCAGCCACTGCAGGTTTTGC